TTATTGCTCCAAGGGCATTGCACTGCAAATTCTTCCTTCATTCTCCTACAATGTTAATTTTGGAAAGTAAGTGATTTTTATTAACATGAAAACATGCAGTTATTTCTCCCATCTTAAATAGAAAGAACTCTTTCTTGACCCAACTTCTTACTCCAGTTATCACCCCATTTCTCTCTTCTGAAAGAGCTATTTATAACTTCTCTCTCCAAGTTTTCTCCTCCCATTCTCTCTTGAATATATCTTGGTCATGCTTTTGCTTCCACCTCCCCACAGAAACTTCCCTTGCCCAGCTCACCAAACTCTTCCATGTTGCTAAATTCAATTGCTGACTTTGGTCCTGATCTTACTAGCCCTCTCAGCAGCATTTGACACAATTGCTCCCCCCTGAAACTCTCCTCTAGGCTCCACACCCTCTGAGTTCCCTTCTGGCTTTCTGCTGACTCTTCTATCCTCCAAATTTACAACACAGGTGTGTCCCACAGTTCAATCTCTCTTCCATTTGTAGTCATTCCTTCGGTGAGCTCATCCCAGTGTGTATCTCCCAGAGCTCTCTGTATTCCAGGCTCTTCTGTCCTAGTCAACATCTCCACCACTGGAACACACCAAGCTTAATCTGTCTACAAGAGGATCCACTCTTCTCTGCATCTCTATAAATGATAGTTCCTTTCTTCCAATTCCTTAAATGAATGGCATGTAACAGATAAACAGCCTTGTGGCCCTTCTCTCTCACATCACTCACCCAACATACCTGAAATTCCCATAAGGTCTACTTTCTACTCTTCCCAACATCTCTGTTGTGTGCTTGACCAAGCTACCATCCTTCCTTCCAGAATCCTTGCAACAAATCTCCTAACTGATCTCCCTCCTTCTGCCCTTGCCATGACTCCCCTTTCCATAGCCTAAAATCACCAGGCAACCAGAGTGCCCCTAATAAAATGGAAAACAAATCTTGTCATGCCTCTGCTCAAAACTGTCTAAGGATGCTCTTGTCACTCAAAACAGCTAAATTTTCCCAGAGACCACTAAGGCCTGATGTCATATGTCTTCCATTGTCTCTCTGGAGTAATTTCTTACTATTCTGCACCTTGTTCAGTGCAGTCATATTGGCCTCCTTACTGTTCCATGTACATGCCAGGAAATCTTCTGTGTCAGTGCATTTGAACTTACTATTCTCTTTTTATGAAAGAGAGGCCTACCCTTAGCAACTTTTACAAAACTACAAATCCTGTCCAACACTTTCTGCTTTACTTCTTCCCGCATAATGTTTATTGATATTTTATATATATTTACTTTTTAATTTTGTGCTTAAGTTCCAACAGAAAAAGGCTTTTTGTCTGTTTCATTTACTGCTAAGTTCCTAGTACTTGAAGCAGTGCCTGGCAAAGAGGGAGTGTATGTGTTTATTGAACAAATTAAGTATCATCAAAATGGTATGATTTATCTAATTATAGTTATTTTGTAATGATCAATGATAGAAGTTTTCCCCCCAAGTTCTGCATCAGTCTAAAGAGAAAGAGCACTTCATTAATATAACTACTACTCACACATTCCAAGCAATTCAAAAATCATCCACAATTTGATAATTTATATGAAGGAAAATATAAACTTATTGATGATAATCATTTCAAAATAGGTACTAAAGGCCAATGACGGACATAAAATTTTAAATGAAAAAAATGTGAAATGGAAAATGTGTGTAAGTAAATTTGTTTACCTTTAAAGGGGGGATTTCCTTAAATACACACTAAAAAAGCAGATGATTTGGACTTAAGGATACTTTATTTGGGAATTTTGCTGTGGACTGCTTTCTCTGGTCAAATATGAAAGATGAGTTACAGAATATTAAAGACCCAGGGTGCCAAAAGTAAGCACTGAGCTGCTGACTAATCAGACAGTGGCAAAGTTTTTTAGGGGAGATTAAATTTGACTATATCTTCACTTTTATCATGAATTAAAGATTCTCCTAGTTCTTTCTTGAAATTCAGTGTTAAAAGAGATAATGATTCTCTTAGTGTCAAAATGTTCAACTGCAGAGCCTGTCTTTATTCATTTAAAGGGAAAACCCTCTCAGTCTATGAGACATGTTTTCTGTAATTGTTGGGCATCATGACACACAGCTAATGAAGAAAAACCACTAATCATAAAATGTATGTAGTGTTAATCATTTCAGACGTAAATGGATTCATAGTAGGCTTTCCAGGTTTTCTTTTTTCTTTTCCACCTTGAGCTAAGTTCCTTGTTTTCTGGGTAAAAGAGTGAAGTAACTTCCGGAAGCTGAAATAGCTATGAGTATTATTGTCTCTTGGCTGTAGCTGTTTATAAAACACTTGATTTAAATAAGAGTGCTTTTGATGGCTTCTAAATCTAATAACACAATGTAGATGCAAGTTTATTGTTCAACTAAGGGATATTTTATTTAATTATTTGTGACAGGGAAAAATTAATTTATCTATAATTTCCTGCTACCTCTCAGGCAGAGAAGAACCTGTGAAAACTTCTTGCTGAGCCTGCTGTGGCCATGAGAACACAAAGCAGAGCTCAGAGCTGAATTAGAGCCAGTTGTGTCATGTATCCAAAAGACTGGAGCCAGACAGTGGGAAAGGCTGTTTAGAACAAAGGTTCCAGAAAGAGGAAAACCTAGCTGTTGGTAGTGGATAGAGGACTGTGGGGGAAAAGGAGATAAAGGAAAGCTGCCATCCGGAGAAGTAGTTTTGGAGGGAAAAGGAAGAAGAAATGCTTAGATAAGTTTTTAAGAAGTTTTCCATATGGTGATATGACCATTTTTCTAATTGCTATTTTTTCTAGTATACATTAAACAAATACTTAGCTATTAAAATTTTTAAAAATGACAACCAAATAAAATGATCTTGTATGCAACCAAAATCGTACAGCAATCATCCAGCACACCATGGTCAGCACAACTGGGTAACAAAAGGCAGAACAATTCTCTGCTACCTGCGTTAATTCCAGTAGATGAATACTGTAGCAGAGAAGATATTTTAGGAGACACAGAAGATTTTCAATCTCTATAGTATTGGGTATTATTCAGAAAAGTATTGAGCTTTTTGAGTTTTAACTAATAAGTCATAAAATGGCATTAAATTGATTTGGGAAAAGGAAACCCCAGGAATGGAGTACATAGCTATGAAGCTTAAAATAGAAATCTCTCAGTAACTAAACAAAGCTGCCTAGTTTTAATGGGAATTAAGACTCTCTGACAGAGTCAGAATGGATCAGAAGAAGGACTTTCATTATTTAGGATCAGGTGGCAATTCACATTTCTTTATATAAAAATTCCAAATAAAGAAAAAGAGTAAAAGATGAAGGAATGATTTCCAAGGATAAAAATAAAGGGGTGCCTGGGTGACTCAGTCAGTTAAGCATCTGTTTTGGGCTCAGGTTATGATCCCAGGGTCCTGGGATCAAGCCCCATGCAGAAACCCTGCTTCTCCTTCTCCCTCTGCCTGCTCCTCTGCCTGCTTGTGCTCTCTTTCTGTCAAATAAATAAATAAAATCTTATAAAAAATAAAAATATTAATGCACTACCATGTTAAGAAAAAAGTATACAGTTGTCTCAATAAGCACTTAAAGAACAAGATTTATCAAAGATATGTTCTATGGGTAGAACAAAGATTTCCTGAAGCCCAAAAAAAGTAGAAACAACATATTTAACTCTGTGTGTTGCTCCAAGGAAGCCTCCAACTGAGATAGTCTTTGGAGAAACCCAGATTCACTTTCCTGAGGAGAACTTCTTATGGCCACTGTCATCTTGCCATTTTTTTTTTTAAAGATTTATTTATTTGAGAGAGAAGGTAAAAAAGAAAGAATGAGAGAAGGCGTGCTCTCAGGATGAGGGGCAGAGGGAAAGACAGATAAAGGGAGAGAAACAGACTCTGCAGCAAGTGAGGAGCCAGACGTGGGGCTCAACCTCAGGACCCTGAGATCACAACTTGAGCTCAAAGCAAGAGTCAGATGCTCAACCAATGGAGCCACCCTGGCAACCTTGCCACTTTTCTAGTTCTCTTTTTGAAGATGTTCCAGAAAAATACTGCTCTGTTTCATAAATTCTCAAGAGTTAAGGTCAAACAGATCTGGAAAAATCCCACATACCTAAAGTTCCCTAAGACCAGCACGCAACCCATGTGTACCATACAAAGAAGAATGCAGATGTCTGATTTCAAAATGTATCCCCTCAGCCTTGAGGAGCAGAATCAGAAGCAAACATTTTTAACTGCCAATATGTTCTTCTCATTGACTATGAAAAGCCCCAGAAGCTTTGCAACATGTTTAAGGAAAATCTAAGAAGAGTTATGTAATCTAGCTAACAGGGCCAAGTTCTATAAATGTGCATAGTATTTTGGGGTACACAATAATCTCATTGTGGATCAGAGGTGTGGCTGGACCTCTGGTACCTTCTTTAGTAATTTTTCTCTTAAAAATACCAATACAGAGAAGGAAAGAGGAGTGTTTTACCAAAGCACTGGTAAGGTTAAATCTTGAGTTATGGAACTTGGTAGACACCTGAATGTCTCTTAAAATGGAATCATTTTCTAAAGTCCAGCTGTTTTTGGCCAATTCAGTGAGACAGTCTCTCCTGGTACATGATGCCCAAGCTCATTATGTTTCCTGAAATGTCAAAAGAGGCTCCAGAGTAGGATGATTGTGCTTTATCCAAAGTTTTCTTAAATCCATGTAATAGAACCCTCCCTTCCCATAGACAGAGAAAACGGGCATAGGAACTCAAGTAAATCATAACACTTCGAAACAATTCATTTAATCGAAATAGAGTATTTTGATTTTCATGGAATCTTTTGGCATTAAAATGCTCTCAAAGGCAAACTGTGCTTCAAAAAATTAATTATTGGAACATCCCCAAACACTGCAGACTGGCGAACTCCAACCAAATGAAATGTTCAGTTAACATAACAAACATAACATAAATTGCCTCTCAATATGAATAGATACATTTGTGTTTCTTCTCATCCAAGCAAACTATTTACCTCTTTCTCCATTTGTAATCCTTCTGCTCTAATATTTCTTTCAAATACTTCTCTCTTTTCGGTCTGTGGGTTGGATTTTCTGTACACAAGAATATAGTCAATTCGACACTTTCCATCTCTGAAGTAAAGTCCATTTGATTTGTTTTTTTCTGGCACTGTCTGCACACAGAGAGGAAGAAATCATTAAGACACTCATAAAAATGGGCCTGAAGTAATATTAAAGAATTATAAGTAAATGAATTTTTCACTGTTTTACCAAGATCACATTTTTATTAATGAAAAATGTAAACAGCAGGGAAGAGAAAATAAAAATTGGAAAAAGAACTGAGTGAAGTAGATAAAACTTAAGACACCTAACAATAATACCAAATGTTGGCAAGGATGTAGAACAACTGAAAATGATCATATTCTAAAAGTGAGAGTGAAAACTGATATACTTACTCTGGAAAACACACTGGCATTATCTTGTAAAATTGAACATATACATAACATACAACCCGTAACAAGAAAAATCCTTATTAAAGCAACTAGGAGGGGCGCCCGGGTGGCTCAGTGGGTTAAAGCCTCTGCCTTTGGCTCGGGTCATGATCCCAGGGTCCTGGAATCAAGCCCCGCATGGGGCTCTCTGCTCAGCAGGAGCCTGCTTCCTCCTCTCTCTCTCTGCCTGCTTCTCTGCCTACTTGTGATCTCTGCCTGTCAAATAAATAAATAAAATCTTTAAAAAGAAAAAAGCAACTAGGAGACATGTATATGACTATCTATAGCAATATTGTTCATAAGAGTAGAAAATAAAAAATGTGAATCAACTTAAATGTCTATGGACAGGCAAAGAGGTAAAAAAAAATTATAGGACAGTCATATGGTGGAATATTATGCAACAATAAAAATGAAGACATTGGGAGATGGAGAGGAGAAGTGAGTGGCAGGGGTGGGGAATTGTAGCGTGTGACAAACCATGAGAGACTGTGGACTCTGAGAAACAAACTGAGGGTTTTGGAGGGGATGGGGTAGGGGGTTGGGTGAGCCTGTGGGCGGTATTATGGAGGGCACGTATTGCATGGAGCACTGGGGGTGGTGCATAAACAATGAATTTTGGAACACTGAAAAAAATTAAATTAAAAAAGAATGAATGACCTACAGTTACATTTAATAGCAAGCATATATCTTAAAACAATATTGACAGGAAAAAAAAACAAGTCACAGAAGACTTCATGTTACATGATTTTTAATAAAGCACAAAATAAAATGAATCTAGAAAGAAGTTGTTAAGACTATATATGTGCATGGTAAAGCTATTTTTAGGGCAAGAGAATAAAAAAAGCAGTGATTGAGGAATATGGTAGAGGGATGGGATTAAAGTTGCTTTGGTGGTCTTAGATTTATTCTAGTTCAACATTCCTCAAAAATTTTGCTCACAATAAAAAAAAAAGTTTTATTCTGTGATATCTGTGTGCATATATAAACATACCAAGTATCTGAGACAAAAGTTCACAAGATAATACTTATCCTTTCTACTTGCATACATGCTAATATTAATTTTCCATTCCACTAAAAATAATTGGGAGTTAGTAACCCAAAACTAGGTTGTCATCATAATTTGAAAAATACTTAGTTCATCAGTTGGATGGTAATTCAATTGTTATTTTCAAAACTTACATGTAAGTTATAAATATTATTTAGTAGTCATCACACATATAAAAATTAAAGAACAAAACAGTAGGTATAATTTTCTTCCAGGCTCCATAGGCTTGTTATAATCATGTGCAACACTGAAAGAGACATCAAGTACAGGCCAGTTAGCCTTTAGCCCAGTTTCTCAGGCTGATAGATTTCAAAAACATGTCTATTGAACCTAGCAAGTGGAAATGGGGGGATGGGGGTTGGCTGTCTTTTCTTTAGGCCCAGTTTACATCAGTTTTCAAATAGTGGTATATGGGAGGGAAACATGCCAGGCCTCCAAGGTCATTGCTAGAATGTACATTCTTGCACAAGTGCCATGCCTGCTGTCTCATCCAAAAGGGAAAGTGTCAGCCGGAGGAATGAAAATGTCACATCCCATGTCTTGGTGCAGACATTCTCAAGGGATGACCAGTCCTCACTGATTTTTTTTTTTTTTTTTGTACTTTTGCTTTAAGAGGTACTCAGAGGTCTACCCAAATAAACACTTTCTTAACAATTATTTACCAGACAAGGGAACTACTCTGTAGACTTAGCACATCAGTATCTGTCTGCAAAAATAAGGTTTCAGCCTCAGCATCAGGAGGAAGTTTACCAAAGCCTTAACTCTCTTGAGACTGTTTCCTTTTCTGTAAGTTAAGGAGATAAGACTAGGTGCTCTTCGAGGTCCCTTTTGAGAATCCTCCTTTATGTCACATCATGGCACTCAAGGTAACTAGGTGAAGAGATGAAAAGGAATGAGGTTTTTTGTTTTTGTTTTTGTTTTTTTTTAATACATGAATAGTAGCATATGGTGTTGGTAGAAAGAGGTCTGGGAAGCTTGGTAGAAGTAAACAATTTTTCCTGTTCAAAGGTGTTATCCTGTCAATGGTTAACTGCCTCTGAAATAATAACAGTAGGAATATGCATAAATGACTGATTTTGTGTTCCTATTACCTATACCTAATGCATATACAAAGAAGGTATTAAACTCCACTGAGACAAAATCTAAGCAATAGTGAATGCCCCTAACAAAAGACTTTTCTTCCAAAATGACATATGAACAGATGGATCTATTTACAATTGCAATGTTTCCAGATTACAGAGGCAAACAGAAACTGGGGGCGGCTTTGGACAACATAATCTACTGAGAGCTGGTCCATTTTGTGTCATTGTTCTATGTGCTGGGAGATTTATACAAGGAAGTCCATGCTTGTAAAGCTTTCTTTCTAATAGTGACGCTCAGAATGTAGATTATCACAAAATGACAGGTGATTTTAAGTGTCTCCCTTTATATAAATGAAATGTCTCTAGGTATAAGAAGGGAAATATATCACTTAGTGAAAGTCTGTTTTAAGCATAGGTAGATTCAGGATCCCTGAAATATGCTGTACCTATGGAGGAAATCAAAAGACTATAAGACTTGTCCCTTGTTTTCTGGAAACCCACAGTTCAACAAGATGATGACTTTACACAATCCACTGGAATATGCTTCACAGGTTTCTACCTGGATGAAATATTGTATTTTTAAGAAATCATACACTTACCTCTCCCCCTGCTTCCAATCTACTAGCATCATCTGAAGTACTGGTCAGGTTTCCAGGGTGAAGCAGAGAATCGTCATCTTTGCAAGGACTGTTGACAGCTTCTAATTCATCAAAAAGAATATTGACATCCTTGGCCACTAAAGCCAAAATAAATTCATTAGAAGTGGGGTTAAGAACTTGGGATCTTAAAATCAATACCAAAATAGAAGACACTTCCCTTTGGCTTCATATTTTTTCATTGTTTCAATAACACCTTAATGATAGGTCTATTATTTTGTAAGAGAAAATGATGTCAGATGTAAAAACATGTTGATCAAACAGTGTCTTGATAAGGCAAGGAAAATGTGAAGCAAAGTGAAGTACCTCCACATATAAATATAACTTTCTTTCCATGACAAGAGGAGGTGTTATGTTTGTTTAGTTTTCCTTCACCTACTTGTTTAGCATCAAGTACTTTCACTTATTACTTCCAAGAACTCATTCTGTGTTGGACCTAACCTCTTTTACTTTATCTCATTTTATTTTTCATGAAAGTGGCTTACAACTTGCTAAGTGAACCCATATTATGTGCCAACTGCCAAGGTTCAGTAATATCTATAATTTTATTCCTTTGTTCCTTCCCAAAGTCTAATAAAGAAAACCTTATACAGTAATAAAGCATGTAGTTAGGTTTTCTGCATTTTCTCTTTCTCTAATCATGAATTGAAATCATGAAGGTACCCATTCAAGGGCTTTCCCAAGAGATTGTTGATGCCAATACATAAAGAACTATATATCAGACTTCCAAATAAAGACTTTACCATTCAAATACATAATACCTTGAACTGGACCAGATATGAAAGTTCAGCACTAGTGGCTGAAGACATATAGTGCCAGGTATAGGACCCTTCCTTAGCAACTCGAATGACAGACCAACATTGGAGTTCACCTTTTCTTTTGATGCTTTAGAAATTCCTAAGGAGGGGCGCCTGGGTGGCTCAGTGGGTTAAGCCGCTGCCTTCGGCTCAGGTCATGATCTCAGGGTCCTGGGATCGAGCCCCGCATCGGGCTCTCTCCTCAGCAGGGAGCCTGCTTCCTCCTCTCTCTCTACCTGCCTCTCTGCCTGCTTGTGATCTCTCTCTCTGTCAAATAAATAAATAAATAAAATCTTTAAAAAAAAGAAAGAAAGAAAGAAATTCCTAAGGATTTTTAACCCACCACAAGCCTCTGTGCAGAATAATTTGTAGGCAATATGGTACTATTTATCTATCACATACAAGAATATTCATCCTTTCATTCAAAAAATTTTTAGAGAGGTGCACATTATCTTGTGCACAGAGTTGAGTGATAGCCATACCCTGATAAACAAAAGTGACATGTCTTCCTGCCCTTGTGGTAACTAGTAAACAAAACAAATAGTCAAAGAATTATAAATTGCATCAAGTGCTATAAAGAAAAGAACATAGTTTGGATACAGTGGGAATAGAGATCATCTACTTAGTTGGTGTGACCAGGTTCTAAAGCAATTCATTTAACATCTAAGTTTTTCCTCTGTAAAATAAAATCGGCATGGCAATAAAATTAACACTTACTGCTTACTGTGGTAGGCTGAATCATGCCCCCCAAAGGTGATCTAGATCCTGGAACACATGAATATGTCACCTTCTATGGTAAAATGAACTCTAGATGTGCTTAATTCAAGGATCTTAAAATGGGAAATTAGCTTGGATTACATGAGTGGGCCCAGTGTAATTATAAGTGAGGCAAGAGGGTCAGAATCAGAGAGACAGATTGGAAAATGCTATGATGTCAGCTTTGGAAATGGAGGATAGAGCCATGAGTCAAGGAATGCAGGTGCCCTAGAAAAGCAAGAAAGCAGATTCTCCCCTATATCTGAGAAGGAACACAGTCTTGCTGGTACCTTGATGATTTCTGACCTTCAGAACAGTGATAAAATAAATTTGTGTTAAGTCACTAAATTTGTGACAATTTGTGGCAGCAGCAAAACTAAACCAATACACTTGTTACAGGTTTTTAGACTCTGCAGATCCAAAGGAAAAAAATCATGGTCTTTTCCTACAACTGGGATTTAGGAGCACCTCTGATGGGCCAGGAACTCAAGGAAAGGTACAGTTTTGAAGGAGCACAGTATGTCCAGTGTTGTGGGAGATGTCAAGAGGAAAGACAACTTCTCTGACAGGCCTACACAGGGAAAGTCCCTCGCCTCCACTTACTCTCCATCTCCTCTCACTGCTCATTTCTTCACAGCACTTATCACAAACTGTAATTATATTGTTTATTCATTTGTTTACTGTGTGATGGATATTTACTCTGTTAGAATATAAGTTCCATAAGGGACCTTGTCTGTCTTGACTGGTGTACAGAGGTCCTGGCACAGCCCTCAACACATATTTAATGACAGAACAATGATCTCAAGGTGGACACGTCTAATGATGTATGAGAGCCCCCCTTTCTCCAATATCCTATGGTTCTAGGACATTGTATATATATTTTTCCTAACACAATTCTTATTCACAAGCCAGGAGCTCCACAGTTTCAAGTAGATGCTGATTAAATTTTAAGTGCATAGTGATTAAATTTCAAGTAGCTATTGATTAGATTTAAACAACAGCATAAAAATATTTCAACAAAGTAGATCTGCTTACGATTCTAAATTCCACCCCTCAGCTGTGTGAACTTGTGCTCCCATTTCCTCACTAGTGAGGCACGTATGGGAAACTTCTCTCTCAGGGTAGCTGAAAAGAGGATTCAGTGAGATCATATAAATGTTAGTCTGACCCACAGCAGAGCTTCAAGGAATGCTGGCTTATCAATTTTAGACTCTGGGACCTTACGTCAGCACTTGGGTCTCAGCAGCACAAGACAGGTCAGGCATTTACAAGTTGGAATGGTTGTTATGAAGGGTAGACTGGGGTAAGGTGTGAAATAAAGAAGCTAAAGAGGACAATGAGATTCATGTCCAAGTGACTGGCTCTCCTTGGGGACAAACTCTTGCATTCATCTGTCCATGAGAATTGCCCCTTTGCTTTTGCTAATGTAGAAAACTACAAGATCTTCTGCTGGTATCACCTTCTGGTGTTGGTACAACCAGTTCCATAAAGCCCTCTATATTCTGGGGCTCCCAATTGGGGCTCTGTTGTCACCCTGAAGTTATATGGAATTGTCTGGAGACATTTTTTATCATTATGGCTAAGAAGAGGGGGTAGTGCTAACATCCAGCAGGTGAAAGCCAGGGGTACTGCTAACCATGCTACAATGTCAGAAAAGCCCCCTACAAGAGATATCTAGTCCAAAATATCAATAGTGTCGAGGTTGAAAAATTATGCTCTATTAAAGGTGGAACTCTTTGATTCTAGAGGGACCAGCTCACTTGGAAAAAGGAAGAGAAGTCTGTTTTCCCTACTTCTGCCCATCATTATTGCTGAAGAAGTTGTGATGTGGCTAATGCTACCTGAGTGCTCAAGGGAAACCAGTATGTCATACAATCTGAATTTTAGAGAATTTTTAGAGAATTAAGTGATATTAAGACATCATTATCACCTGCCAGCCTCCCAAGAATCTTAACAGGGATTAAAAATGCTGATCTGTCAAAATTTTCAGCTGAACACATGGTCAGTGAGAAGACTGTAGAACAAGTAGACAGCTATACAGACAGAAGAAACACCTGTCCTTTATCAATACTCCACCATTCTTACTGACAGATCAGCTATACGAGCTAAGTTTTAGAAACAAAGTATAATATCCTTTGAAGCAAACTTACATCATTTCTTTAAGGAGAAAAACAACCTCCAACTTCCAGAGTTATTCAATTTTTAAAAATCTGTTTATTCAGCAAGTTACTTTAGTTATTCAGCAAGTACTTAGCTACCTATCTTGGCTGGGCACTGTGCTGGGTTAGGTCAAGTACTAGACATGACAACCATGGCCCCTGTCCTCACAGAGCTCACCATCCAGCCAAGGTGACAGTGGGGCCTTTTTATCCATGGCAAGGATGTCACAAAGATACTCTACATTCAAGCAGTGTTACTTTTAATGGATCCCCTCACCTTTCATGCAGCCTAAGTAACAGACCTGCTCTGTATAAACTCAGGAAGGGCTGTGTGAACAGAACTGGGAAGCTGAGTCACAATAGATAGATACCACACATGTGGAAAGCAAGAGAGAGCCTCAAATGATTGTCCTTCACAAAAAGCAGGTATTCAGCCTAAGAAGACCAGGGAACAAAGTAGCAAAGACTCACATATAATAGCTACACAAGAGTCAAGAACCTCAGATTGCCTGGGAAGCAATTTTGGGAGACCAAAAACCTGCTAGAGTCTGAGTAAATCATCAAACTCAGAATAGGTAAGAAGAGATTTCTGTAGGCTGACTTGCTATGTTATCCCAGAATAGAGAAGGAGCAGAGAAGTCAGAGGGTCAGAAGACAGGGCAATTCTGACATTCTTTATGGGAAGGCAAGTTTACCCTGACAGCACTGAATCTACTCACTAAATATTTGTAATTCAGTGTAATTCACTGTAATTCAGTGAAAATCACTTGGATTTTTAGCCATTATTCACCTCCAGGGGGAAAAGGCCACAAATGTATTTCAAGGGCTCAAATAAGTAAGCAAATAAATTAATTATCTTCTGCCACTTGTTCACTGAGCCAACATTCATGTTAGGTGCTAGAGGCATGAACATGAACAAGACATGAGTGGATAAAATTGAAGCAGGACTATAAAGGCAGGGAAAACAAACACTAAGGGTGTCTTGTATCTTTTAGAGAGTAAGAAATAAATACCAAAAAATCAAAGCACTCGACTCACTGCTCTTTTAACTCTCCTATTCCTCAAATGCAGCAGAAAAATCCCATGGTGGCATTAACAGCACAGGAGTACTTTAATCTCAGAATTTTCTGATGCAGAGAAAATCAAGTGAAATTATAGGTCACTGAAGACAACATAAGACTGTGTAGTGTAATGCAGGTTATCTATATTTGTCCTCCAGAGTGCCAGCTCATTTTACTATTTTTGTCCTGAGTTCCAAATTATTACATCTGATATTCAGAACTTTGAAAATATTGCATATTGACCTTAAAGCATCATTAGAAAACACACAAAAAAAGGACACCTTCAGGAATGATTTAGAATGCAAAC